GCTTGGGGGGGTAGTACTTTCTGAAAGTACTGGTACTTTGCAGGGGGCTTGCCATGCAGTGAATTTCTGAATGTGCGAGTTGAGGCTACTGGCTTTAAAATCAACCATGTCGGCTATTTTTCTAGACTGCTCCTCTTTTCCACCATTGTTTGCAACAGTCATATAGCCACACAAGTCTCACCGATGTCGGCGTGAGATTGTACGTCGGCATTAAATTTATTGCTCGGAAATAGCAGGCAATGGGCAGCTGTGTGTTTACAGCTAACAGCTGATGAAGTTTCGCTAAATACTGGGTCCGGAGTTGTTGGTTTAAGTTTTCATCAGTCAGGAGGTTTTTACACAGAGCTAAAGTCTCCTCCTCACCAAAACAAGCGGAACAGCTTATTACGGCAGGTAATAGGCTAAAGTTCCTTAAAAATCAGATTTCTCTGAGCTAGTGTTCTTCGAGACGGGTCTTAAGGCCACTTTTTGATGGTCTTGGTCTCGTCTTGGACTTGACCGCATTTGTACTCGGTCATTGAGGACTTGAGATTTCATTTCAAGACCAGTCAAGAGCATAACTTTGGGAATATCAATAAATTGCTTTTGCATCGTCTGATTTATTTGTCAACATCCTAACTTTGATTGGATGTAAAACTTATTGCTTTAACAGGTTATATACAGGAATCCTGAAGTAAAATTCAATACCTTTTTAAGACCTTTTCAACATATTTTAAGACTGCCGCGCCACTTTGAGCTAACCGATTAAATCAGCCACACACCTTAAAGAGGGACATTTGAGTTTTTAAAAGGAATCTAAATAATTTATAACATATTTATTGCCTATATGTCATCAGGTTGTAACACCACCTAAAAATTGAGGCATTCACCAACGTTCTCAGTTGCCTGTAACAGCGTGTATGAGCCAACAGTTTTCCATGTGAAGGACTGGTCAGATTTCCTGGGAAAAGCAACTGTCTTACATAAACTATGACGTGTATGTACGCAAAATTACAGAAAATCATGTGAAACAGTGTGATTTTGTGTTTTAGTTGGTTTAAACTAGATAATGTGAGCTTGCCTGCAATAATATGTGTGATAACTTTCATCCACCACTTGATCAATACAACAAAATTAAAATGGACCAGGAGGGAACAAAGATGAAGAGAATAAACTGAGTGATGAATAATAGTGTTGGCCGTGTAGCACATGCACAACCTGGAGGAGGTACTGGTCTAAATGAGTGTATTAGTATAATATTCATCCATCCATCTTCAACCGCTTATCCTGCGTACAGGGTCGCAGTGGGCTGGAGCCAATCCCAGCTGCCATCGGGTGAAAAGTGGGGTACACCCTGGACAGGTTGCCAGTCCATCGCAGGGCATTTGTATAATATTATAACATTAAATTAAAAGTATATTGTTAATTTAATAGTAAACTGTTAGTTTGATATTAATATATTCATTATGTTACTATATTCAATATAATAGAATATAACTTACCACTAGAATAATAATTCAAATTACTGCTATTTCAGTTTGGGGTTGTTTTTTATTGCTCTAGGCCACATGATAGTCTCCAGCCTTGATTTTGGGCTACTAACTCGTTAATAATCATAACCGTTTATGCAGAACAATGAGTTCAACATTTATAAAGTTTGTTGCAGCACATCAAACTTTTTTTAAATCCCGCTCTATCCAGGCTGTGATTGGTCTGTTCACAAAACGAGAGCATCGGCTTTATGAAAAGTTGAACGTGTTTCAATAAAATGTACCGATTTAGCTAAATAGCCAGCTAACGTTAGCCAAACCCACACGCTCCTTGAATTTTCCCTGTTTCTGTCTTACCGATTCAGCTGCTGGCGGCGCATCTCACTCTTGTTTTTCAGGAACGGGGTTGTTCAGATGGCCACAGAGCGACCGGCCAACTGGGTTAATCCCGTTACTCCTGATCGCCACTCCGACTATGTTTTGGAAGATTCGCATTGCAGGTCCAGCAGGGTGGGAGATTAAAGTCGGGTGTACTCTTAAATCATTCATCATAATCATTCATTCAATCATCGGTAGATCCCTGCGCCTAACGTTACAGAAACGAATCACACATTCACTCTCTGCCTGTCTAGTATTTTTGGCTACGCATTATAAATAAATACGTTCACCTACACTTATAGCAAACAAACTTTTGGACAAACAGGATTTTCACATTGAAAAAAATATCTTTAAAATTTAATACCTTGTTAAATGGCGATTAAGACTTTTTAATGGCCTTAATTTTGGCATAATTGATCCATCACTTTTTAAGACCCCGCGGACACCCTGTTTAAATACAACCAATAACCCTAATGTGTTGTTACCATTAACAACTTTCTCCCCTCCCCACGATGGTAAGCATGGAAAAAGAGTGTTGAATAAAGATAGTTAAGTTGATTTCAGCTCTTAGTGTTTGTATGTGGGTGTTTTAATGGGAATGTGGATCTTTCAGATCAATTTGAGGACCTATGATCTCGTTCCACATTTTATTGTGTGTCATGTAATGTGGGGAACTGGTCTTGGTCTTGATTCGGTCTCGCCCCCCCTCGGTCTTGGTCTTGGTTTGGGTGGTCTTGACTACAACACTACTTCAGAGCCATGAACCTTGCTGCTCTCTTTGTTTGACAATGACATCTAAAAATCAAAATCTTCAACATGTGAAAACTGTACATATCTGTGTTTCCCCTATATGCATTCAGAAGCGGCGGTGAGCCATCTACGTGACAGGTGCTGTTATAAGAGCAGCTCCAAATCGGGAGGTGCATAGCAAGTGTTTGATTGTCCGAAAGTGATGGTAAACGTGAGCGGAGGAAAATATCCCCTTCAGACTGCACAGCTGAGCAGAAAAGCTGACAGTAGGCTAGCCAACGTCTTTTGGCTGCTATGTAACTTAACATTAGGTCAATTTATAGAAAGTAACTGGTCGTTGTATTTTATTACTACCTACTTGTCCAATGTCGAGAGCATCAGGTTTACATTCCTCCACTTACAAATTCAAAAAATGTACTACAGGAACTGTTTGAGGTCATCAGCAGTCACATGACAAAACAACTTGATGGTGTTTTATTGTTGCAATCATATAATCAAACAAATCTCAGAACAGTTTTTCCTAAATTCCACCAGCATGTCCACATCCCCACCAGAAGAACAAACACGCTGGACCACGTCTACACCAATATTCCTGGCAGCTACAAAGCCCTGCTCCGTCCCCATTTTGGTTTATCAGACCATGTTTTCTGCTTCTTCAGCCCACTTACACCCAGCTGATTAAAAGGGTCAAGCCAACAATTAAAACAGTGAAAAGTGTGGACAGATGAGGCTACAGCAGCTCTACTGTTTTGGGAGCACAGATTGGAGTGTGTTCAGAGAGGCCGCCGCCCAGGAGAGCCACATAAACCTTGTGGAATATCCATCATCAGTGACATCAGCAAATGTGTTGATGATGTGGTGATCACTAAAACGATACAATCATTCCTCTCGCCAGAGCGAGACTGAAAGCTGGCATCAAAGAGGCAAAGCGGAGACATCAGCAGAGACTGGAGAGAGACCTCAACACCAACACCACCAAAGACATGTGGCAGGCCGTCAAAAACATCAGAGGCTACAAAAGCAGGAGCTCCCCCATCATGTGTGAGGCCACAGTACCAGATCAACTAAACACCTTTTACGCTCACTTTGATCTCCTCAACAAAGAGTCAGCTGTGAAGTCTACTCCACCTCCATCTTGTGGTGAGTGGTGCTCAGAGAACAACCTACTAATACTAATCAATAAAACTAAGGACCTGATTGTTGATTTCAGGAAAAAGGAGAGAAAGACACACACTCCTGTCTACATCAGTGGAGCAGGTGAATAGTTTTAAGTTCCTGGGAATCAGCATCACAGAGAACCTGACATGGTCACCTCACATCTCCATGCTGGTGAACTGTATTTCTTGAGGAAGCTTAAGAAGGCCAAATTCCCGTATCAAGTTCTTGTCAGTTTTTACAGAGGAGCAATAGAATCATCCTGACTGAAAACATCACTAACATGGGATGTGCACGGCTCAGGACCGGAGGGCTCTGCAGCGGGTGATTCAAACTGCTCAGAAGATCATTGGTACCCATCTCCTGAGCATCAGTGATATCAGTGAGGTGAGGTGCCTGCAGAGACCAAAGGATACTAAAGGACAGTACCCACCCAGTCACATCCTGTTCACCCTTCTGCCTTCTGGGAAGAGATATAGAAGTTTCTGCTGCCGCACCACCAGACTGCAGAGCAGCTTCACCCCCAAGATATCAGACTCTTAAACTCTAATTCACTCAGCACTGCTCCAGTGATGGTAGTTTATTTCTGTTTTTTTTTTTCATTTTTCATAATTGATTCTATTTTAAATGTATATTGTCTGCTGTGTTAGAAGAAGGGAGTTACAAACTCAATTTCACTATATAGCCTATTATATTGTGACAAAATAAATCTACCTACCTAAACAGTCCTGGCCATTGGAAAATTGGCTAGCATAAGTTAGCGTTCAAGCTAATAACTGTAACCGCCCAGCAACACCAGTGTCTGGTTAGGGTTAATATGTAACTAAGGTTAACCACGTTGTCCATAAATGAACATTGTGCCTTTAGATCGATGTGTCCACATTTTCAAATCTAAATTTATAAGCAACTTCATCTGTAACTACATAACGTTAATCGAGTTTGAGCTGATATTAGCTCTGCTATGCACCAACTTCAGTGTTGACGATGGCCGTAGTGAACCACTTCAACTTGTCTTTAAGCAGCCGTTAATAACCCACGCATTGTGGTAAGTTAAGTATCCACGATACAAAGACTTACTAATGGCTCTTCGGGGAGTAAATTCAATTTGTGTCATGTTCACAATAGAACAGCTCATTTCTCTGACAACAATATAATGGTTGATAGCTAACGTTAACTTACACTGCGACTCCACATCTCAGCTGCTTTCCCGCATAGGAAATACAAACAAAAATAGATCGTTTTACTCACATTTATACTTGTAGGTGTAAAAGTTAAATCCACAGAACGAAAACCACCGGCTTTGTTGATATTTCTCTGACAGCAGCAGAAGTATGTCCGGCTGTCCCTCTCTGGTTTTCTATGTGCCTTTAAAACTGTACTGGCACCAACAACCAATTGCTATTGATTTCTTCTTCTTCTCTTAGTTAATGGCGGATTGCAAACAACTTTTAGGTCTATACTGCCACCTACTGTACTGGAGTGTACAGTAGGTGGCGGTATATCACTCAACTACATAACTCGTTAATACAGTGCTCTCATATTCTCTTCACTAACCCAGTGTCTTTAAGAAATTTAAATAATGCCTTCCTGGTGATTCTTATACCCCTTTCTTCTCCTTCTGTTCCCAATACCCCCATCAGATTCCATTCCCGCCCTGCCTCCTGAACTCCTATCTTGAAATATCTGTTTCCAACTCAAACAATACACAGTGCAAAATGATATGTTCAACATTTTCTTTAACCCCACAGTTTTCACATTTTTCACTATTCCTTTTCCCCAATAAAACAAGGTGCCATTCAGTCCTGTGAGATCAACTCTCAGTCTTTTCCTTATAATTTTTATTACTGACAGACGTTTGTTTTTCATAGTAACTCCTTCCTTTCCTGTCTTCCTCCCACCATTTCTGCCATATTTCAATACCTTTCTTCTTAATGACTGCTTTTCCTTTTCCTAGTAGTATTTGAACTGTCCTTTTGTAATGCCTCTTTTGCTAGTTTGTCTGCAATCTCATTTCCATTTACTCCCTCATGAGCCGGCACCCAACAAAACGTAACATCTATCCCTCCCCGATGTAATCTTAATAAGCTGTGAAACATCAGTAGGTCTTCTCTGACAGATGTCATTGGCTGAATGCTTTTAATAACTGCTAAGGAGTCTGTGCATAATATCACCCTATCAGGTCTGACCTCTTCAACCCACTAATGCTATGATGATGCCACTATTTCTTAAAATACTCCCAACAACCCTTTGCAGGGTTTTCTTTCCCACTTCCTTTCAATCTGACCCAATATGCTAGCGCTAGCTTATCTCCAGCTACTATGAGTATTGTGTTAATGGGAGTTGTCTTAAAGGCTCCAATGCATATCTGTAAAGCTCTGTATTGTAATTTATTTATTTTTTCCAATATTGTTTTTGCTGCTGCATCATATACTATGCAACCATAATCTATTGATGACCTCATACATGCTCTATATATGTCAATTTGTGACTGTTTATCTGCACCCCAGTCACACCCAGCCACCGCTCTGTCAAGGCTTTGGGTTGGTTGGGCGGTTTTTCAGTTGTTTCCGATGTTTTTATGTAGTTCTGGGTTTCACTTGTGTTCTGGTTTTGTATTCTTGTGTTTAGTCTTTCATGTGTGTGGTTTTGTAGCCTAGTTTATTCTTTTGTTCATTCGCATGTTTAATTGACTTAGTTTCTGTCTTGTCCCTTATCTTAGTTTTAGTCCTGCATTTTAGGTCTGTTTTATTCTTCCTGGTCCCTTGTCATTTGTTCTGGTTTTTGTCCACTTGTCAGTGTGTCTTGTCCATATCATCTGGTTCCATATTTTGTGAGTGGTTGGTTCTTGTGTCCAGTTTCTATTTGTTTGTATGCCCTGTCTGTTCTCTCCTTGTCTGTGTCTGTGTCTTAGTCCTATGTCTCCATGTTGGTGTTGTCCTGTTTCCAGTTTCTCCCTCACCTGTGTATATAGTGGTTGTCTGTCTTTCACTCCTTGCCAGTTCATTGTTCTCATCTTCATGTGTTTTTTAGTCTAGTGGTTTTGATGCCGGAGTTCTCCAGTGTTCGGTCTGTGTTCTCCAGTGTTACTCGTGCCTCCTGTGTTTTTGTGGATTACTTTGGATTTACTTTCAGTTGGATTATTCACCAGTTGTGTTTTGGACTGGTAATACCACCTCACCTGTAAGCAGTGATGGGCAAAGCGAGGCTTTGTGAAACATGGAAACGTTTTTTTCGCGCCACGAGGCGAAAGTTCGCAGTTGGTCTGAATGCGCCATTATCAATACATGACCAACAGGATTTCAGAGAAATCACCATACAACAAACATTTTCAGATTGTCAGAGACAGCAGATTGGGATTGCAATAAAAGTGTGTTTAAATAAAACGCATCTGTGTGTTGTTTCATAAGTAATCACTCATATAGCCGACACTTTTCTCAAAAGCAAATCACAATTGCTATGTCAGAGGGCACAGCTTTGGAGCAACTACGGGTTAAGTGTCTTACTCAGGGACACATGTATTACATTGGGAATCGAACCCAGGTCTCACACCAAAGGCATATGTCTTAACCACTACCCCATTGAGACAACTTGTTCATATTCAGAATTGGAATACTGTATTGATCTCCGACGGTGAAGTCTTTGTTGCAGATACTTGCATGACATAAAAGGAATAATAGGTAGTTGAAGTTAGTGAGTAGAGAATATAATAAAGTATTCCAATCTAAGAATATAGCCTAATAAATGTGGATATCTTCGGTATTATACAGTAGCTTATTAACAAAGGTGTAATGATAATTAGCAGGAAAGATATAGGCCCTAGTGTACTAATAATTGAGTGCTGGCAGTGATGAGGTGCACTGGATAAAAAATCCGTGACTGAGTAAAGTTTGAGTTGTTTCAAGAATGATAAATGAAAAGTGGAACAATGTCTCATTTGTTATATGTCAAGAATTGTATTCAGAAATATTCAGCTGTTTTGGGGCTGAGTCGGGGTTTTTTCGTAATTGACATCCCCAGCCTTGGAAGAATTTGGTCACACAAGTATTTTTTTGCCATCATAGGCCTACAGGTGCGGATATAGGCTACTACAGCATGCCGCTCCAATAAAACAAATGGTTGTTTGTCCTTGGAACAAATCTGTCAAATGAGTTAGAGGCTGATGTGCGGTTTGATCTTCTGATCCAACCTTTACTCTAATTTTTCCTATCTGTTAAAAAGTCTAATATCCAGTTAGAAGTCCTTCCTCCATTCTACTCCGTTTAAATTAGTAATCCTTCCCTCTGGGAGGCACAGTAGGCTTTTATGTACAATAGTACAGTGAAGCAGGGCTCTGCAGTGCAACTCTTTCACTCACATATGCGCTTAAATTTTTTACAAGCATAGTGGGTTAGTGAAGACTAAAACCTACTGTAAATAATGTTAACGTTATATTATACCAATACTCATTTATACTAGTTCCTCCTCCAGGTTGTGGTTAGAGCCTCTGCAGTGGACAGATGTAGATTTAGTTAAAAGTAGACAACATTTGTAGGCCCATGTCGAGCGTTCAGATCCAGTAGTCTTCACATCATAAAACAGTCACTGCACACAAGGACGAGAAGGAGCTCGGGCATATTATATATGTGAATAAAATAATTTTAGAAGTTAATTTTGTGCTACTTGAACATTTTTGGACTACTGTCCTCCTTAGGAGGAAGGTTAGCATAGCGCTACAAGCAAATAAGCAAGTTTTGGAACAGATCCATGATATAATTCTCCCTAACAGCCAGAGTTATTATATTATTATTTTTAATAATTTTTTATTTCAGTTAATTAAAGTGTTTTTTTTCCACACCCAGATTTAGTTTAGTTTTAGTCTAAAATCACCTCTTTAACTACATGGTACAGATGTATTTATTGTTGTTCATTTCATTTGGTTTTTGATATTTAAGTCTTATTTGCAGCCTAGTTGTCATCTTCATCATTCTAGAAATCTGGCCAAGTTTATTAGTGGACCAAATCCATGACAACCCAGAGCTGAGACCAGGAGCCAGACACACAGTTTAACACACTTCTCTGCCCTTCTAATTCAGCAGTTACCCACCCAAAACCCTACGCAGAGTCGCAGTCTAACACACTTCTCTGCTCCTCCATTTCAGGAGTTACTCAGTGAAAATCCTATAGTGACGGTGTCTGCCCCCCGACCATCGAAATTATTTAAAAAGGTAAACAGAAGAGGAGCTGTGCATAAAAACCTCATAAAAAATAAAACCAATAGAGCAATAGTGCAAACGAATAGGAAAATTAAATGTGGACATCACATCTCTCTCTTCTAAAGGTGTACTAGTAAATGAACTAATATCAGATTATGATATTGATTTATTTTGTCTTACTGAAACCTGGCTGGGTGATGGAGAATATGTTAGCCTAAATGAATCCACCCCTCCCAGTCATATTAATACTCACATTCCTCGAGACACAGGCCGAGGAGGTGGAGTTGCAGCTATCTTCGACTCTAGCCTACTAATCAGCTCTAAACCTAAACTATAACTCTTTTGAAAGTCTTGTTCTTGGTCTTTCACACCCAAGTTGGAAATCACTGCAACCAATTCTTTTTGTTATAGTGTACCGAGCACCTGGTCTACACAATTCTTATCTGAATTTGCAGAGCTTTTGTCAACTTTAGTTCTTAAAACAGACAAAGTTATTATTGTAGGGGCTTTTAATATTCATGTGGACGTTGAGAATGACAGCTTCAGTACTGAGTTTATCTCTCTGTTAGATTCCATTGGCTTCTCTCAGAGTGTTCATGAACCCACAAAATACCTCTTTATCCGACCACTGTTTGGTAACTTTTGAGTTTGTATTGCTGAACCACACGCCACTACTACAAACTAGTCCACACATTTGTTACTTCTAGGCTGGATTACAGCAATTCTTTATTATCAGGCTGCTCGAAAAAATCCGTTAAGACTCTTCAGCTGATCCAGAATGCTGCAGCACGTGTTCTGACAGGAACCAGGAAAAGAGATCATATTTCTCCTGTCTTAGCTTCTTTGCATTGGCTTCCTGTAAAATCCAGAATAGAATTTAAAATCATTCTTCTTACCTACAAAGCTCTTAATGGTCAGGCACCATCTTATCTTAAAGAGCTCATAGTACCTTACTACCCCACCAGAGCACTGCGCTCCCAGAATGCAGGGTTACTTGTGGTTCCTAGAGTCTCCAAAAGTAGACTAGGAGCCAGAGCGTTCAGCTATCAAGCTCCTCTCCTGTGGAACCAGGTTCCAGTTTGGGTTCAGGAGGCAGACACCATCTCCACATTTAAGAGTAGGCTTAAGACTTTCCTCTTTGATAAAGCTTATAGTTAGGGCTGGCTCAGGTGAGTCCTGAACCATCCCTTAGTTATGCTGCTATAGGCCTAGAC